AAATATTGTCCACATTTTATTTGCTTAGTGCTTTGTGTTAGTTTTTTTTCATTTTAAGAGTATCATTCTTTCAATCCTCTGTGTTACACTTGGAAAGATTTTATGTCAGGGTTACGTTAGCTTCAAAAACTGCATTTGCCATGATCTGACTTTTTAAATCACTGGCTGTTTAAATACTCCATGAAAATCTGAAAAGAAAAACCAACGAATAATCAGTGTGGGAATTTGAATACAGCTTCCCAATAGAATATAAGCTGCAAGGAGGATTTCTGTCTGTTTTATTCACTACTGTATCCCTACTGTTCTAGAACAGTGCCTGGTATTCAGTAAATGTTTGTTGAATAAATGGAAGAAAGTAATGAATAGTCTCCCTGGACATTTAATAGAGTTGTTTGGAAGGTTTTTTTTTCTTCCTGATTTATCCTGTGTTTTGCTCTATAAAGCTCTTTCAGGGAATCACTTATGTGTGTGCTCACACACACACACACAAACATACACACACCATTCCTCAAAAAAAACTGGTTTATTTTAAACAACTCAAATATAAATATCACTAGAAAAAATTTGTATTGTACTTAAATTTCCCACTGACATTAATAACAATAATTTCCCATTATTACAAGTTATGAAAAGGCTGAAAATTATATTTTAATGCAATTTTCAGGTTGGCATTTCAAAGTTTCAGTGACAAACATAATGAATTGTTAAAGTCTCAATTTGAGATGGACATTGTAGCTCATTCTCTTAGTAAAAAAGCTAAAAGCAATTCTTATTCCAAGTCACTTAATACTTTCCAGAACAGATTAAAGATCTAAAGGTCACTTAAGATAAGCTCTAAATGTCACTTAAAGGAAAACAATGTCACTGAAAATAAAATACCAGATTTAAGCATCATCATTCAGATTATATACTCTTTTTATTTTGCCTCTATTACAACATCAGGGGTGATATGGTGATAGAGGAACAAAAAATCTCAGGTTAGGGTTGATCATAACTATATTATCTTTATTCTTTCTCTTTTTAAAGAAAAGAAATATGGTGTAGAAATTTTGACTCAATCTGATTAATTTTAAAGGGCATGTTCTCAGCAAAATTCTATGGCAATTTATATGTAGTGAAGTCTGGATTATGCTGTCAGTGATCAATGATTTGTAGTATATTTAACATATACAACATACCACTCATTTATTTGACCATGGATTGTATGATGTGATTCTAAATAAAAGGAAGCTATAATTGAAAAGTACAGAGCAACCAGAAAAAAAATGAAATGAAACAAACCTACCATGCCCTCTGTTGATGAAATGTGTGACTAGAGAATGTATGATTGGAAAGAAAAAATTCAACATATGTTTCTTCATTCTTTTTTTTAACTTTCTCTAAATTATGTTCTAATTGAATTTCATAAAATAAGCATTTTATATTCTTCTGTTTTTATAGCATTCAGCACAAAATTATATCAATTAAAAGGAAAAAGTATCCATGTATAAATGGTTAATGCAGTAGGCCCAGTCATATGGACTTGAATAGGTGTGATCTACTTGGAACTCATTCTGGAAGAACAACAATTGGAAGGGAAGAACCATTTTTAGACAATTTCTACTAAGGCAAGGTGGAAAAGGTAGAAGGATGGAATTCTGAACAAGCCAGATTGCTGTCCTCCCTCTCCTTTTCCCTAATCTTCAAATATCAGCCAAGTCCTTATAAATGATGAAGTTCATGTGCATCTTATGGGTGCAAGGATGGGTTGTTATCCTGAGACAAAATCTAAATCTCCTTCTCTAGAAGGTATCAGAGAGATTGACAGACATCCTTCAATAACTCCTTACCTTCTCCTTCTCAGTAGCATAACCATAAATTTTGATTTGGCTCAGTACACAGAACAAAAACTATATTTCTTGGCCTCCTATGTAGCTAGATTTGGCCACTTATCTACATTCTGGCCAATAATGAAAGTGGTAGTATCATGTGCAACTTTGGGGAAATTCCTTAAAAGAGAGGAGGCTCATCCTTCTTCACATTTTCCACCAGCCTGGTAACAGAACAATTCAGTAACTATCTTGGACCATGAGGTGGAAGATGTATACTGAAGATGACAAAGCAAAGAGTCTAACAAATCAGGGTTCCCAACACATTTATGAATCTCCCCTGCCAACACTGAATTGCTTCTCTTTTAATTAAGTCTATTTATTTGTTTAAGTTATTGTTACAATGAAATATCCTCCAGCTTTAAAAAGAAAAGAAATTCTGACAAGGGCTACAACATGGATGAAGCTTGAAGACATTATACTTATATTCTGTAAGCAAGTCACAAAACAACAAATATTGTGTAATTTCACTTATATGAGATACATAGTATATTCAGATTCATAGAGACAGACAGTAGAATGGTAGTTTCCAGAGGATGGGGGGGGGGGCGGTGAATAGGAACTTATGTTTAATGAGGACAGATTTTCAGTTGGAAAAGATGAAAAAGTTTTGGAGATGGATGGTTGCATAACAATGCAAATTTACTTACTGCCACAGAAGTGTACACTTAAAATTGGTTAAAATGATAAATTCTATGTTTTATATACTTTACCACAATAAAAAATGCAAAAATGTCAATGGTTAGCAACAATGTGTGTGATGAGAATATTTTCCGAAATCTCTGAAGTGCTCCCTTGGATACCAGTAGGATCAAAATTCAAAATTCTATTGTTGGAGACAATGTACTGGGCTTCACTCAATTTTATTTGATGAAACAAGAAATTAAGTGTTAACCACAATTACATGCCTACACTGACATGAGGGAATTTCTTACACATCTAGAGCTTCAATTGACATCTTCATGCAGATGCTTCATAAATGTATATCTTCAATTATTTCCCTGAGGTCAATTATTCCATGTTTCAAAGTGTTAGGTTGGAAGTTAGACATGAGCAACCAGAGGAGGCCTGGCTGTAAGGGATGGAAGCCTATCTCTGAATTCCATCCAAGAAACACCCAGGAGAGCTCACAGACATGCTACAAAATAACCACACTTTTCAACTCCTGCACATGTACCCTAGGCACAAGTGGATACAAAATGACCACAGGGGCTTCTCCAAGTAACTTTAGGCAGTTAGGAGCTCATTAAGGGCTCATGAATATTCTGCATCTAATTATGACAGAATTATGGGAAGACATAAATAATACAACTTGTTGTTATATAACTTGTAATTGTCAATTGGCCTTGAGCATATGCCCATTTGCCTGCCCTTTCATTGATTGGTGGTGGGTGCAAGCCCTACTTTGAATCAGGCATAACCAAAAGGAGGAAACTGGAAGCATAAAAAGGGGAAGACAAGAGGGTTTGACAGGAAGGATGAGGGCAACTCTCTTGGGAGTGTTGGACTAAGAAAAGCTCTGTCTGCTTGAGTTGGATGTTCTACATCTTTTGGTCCATCACTCCAATTTTTTGTTGTGACAAAACAAGAACCAGGGAAGAGAAATAAACCAACCTGACAAAAACTATGTCAAACTCAACATGCCCAACACCAAATTCATGATCACCATCCCCATACCTGGCTATTTGCCATCCATCTGATTGAGTAAGCCATAAAGCCAGGACCTTTACCCTCCTTTACATCTCCCATCCTATCATATGCTTCTGTGCCATCATGTACCTCCTGTTATCAGTTATTTCATTAATACTTTTACATTATTTCTGTATTTGAATACTATTTATCTCTCACACTAGAGTGCACATTCTGGGTGAGCAGAGACTTTAGTTTTACTCAATTGTATTCCCAGAATACAGCACAGTGCCTGCCCTTTACATGGGTGTTTAATAAATACATGTTAAATAAATCTTTAAGGTTTGAACTCATAACTGGGAAAAAAGTTTGATATAAAAATGCATAAATGTAATTCCTCTCCTTCCTATCTTTATGAAGATGTGAGTTATTCCTCAAGCAGAGTTAGTGGGTTACAGTTTGACACTTATCTTGAGATTATCCTGGCTATTGCTTTAGTACTGACTTTTAGTTCAGTGTCATCTTGTACATTTACCTGAATTTCTTGAACACTTCTAACTTGTACAATGATTCCTCTATCTGTCCCTTCTCATGAACTAATCCAAATATACTGTTCCATTCCTTGGGTGGAGAATAGTAACTATTTGAGGCTCACAACTCTAGGTAGAGGTCCTGAGGTGGGGATGAGGATGAGGGAGTGGGAGTTTATCTCAGAACTCAAACTCTGTGGATTCAAGCTGTGCTTTTGCTACTAGTTTCAAATGAGTTTACTTAACATCTGAATCTGTTTCTGCATTTCCCGAAGCAGACACACCATTAAAGATACCTATAGAACAAAATTATTGTGAGAACTATATGGAGAAATGGACCTGGAATTACCTTTTAAACTGTACAGTGGCACAAACGTACATTATCCCTATGTGAATATGGTTGGAGTGAATCCTAAAATAGCAGCGGGGATGGAAAGGAGGTATTTGGCCACGACTCACATTATGTAGGTAACTACTTTTACAGTGTATTTCTACCTGCTTTTGAACTTGTTTTTGAAAGGAATAATGAAGTGGTTGCAGCAGAGAAAAAAATCTTAACAGGAAAAAGGTGGGGGGGGGGGGAAGCACTTCTAAAATCTAGCATTTAGCCAGTCAATTTGGCGTCTTTACTTCTACCGCGTTTCAGTTTCCCGAAAATCCCAAACTTTCCCACCATCTCTAACTATCGTAACTGTGATCAGGTGTGCGGTATGTGCCGCCTGGTTTCCCCTCAAGCCGGTGTTACGTCCTCAGATTATGACGTACCGCCCCCTGAGCGTGCTCAATTGTGAGGTCACACGCTCTCTCGGGTATATAAAGCTGGACGCTGCCTACTGTCCCACTTGCACCAGGCAGTGAGGGACGCTGAGTATCGTGGCCCTCGGCTTCCCGGGAGGCTAGCGGCCCCCTGCTTCCCAACTGCCAGCTGAGTCCCTCAGTGCCCGAGAAGAGGGAAGAGGTTTGAAGAGGCGCCATGAGTGTCCTGTTTCTACTAGTGAGCAGCATTCTGTTGGCCTTTATGTTTGTCTTCTGGAAAACCTGGTTTCAGGTAAGTGTAAGAGCGGTTGGAATTAGATGAAGCTCGACAAATACATGGCTTGGGGAGGGAGGTGTGTTTAAGAGAGTAGATAGATAGCAAAGTAAGAGTAAGGCGGGGGTCACCCCATTCCTTTTTCCCTTGAAAGCTCTCAGATGTTGACTTTACCTCACACTTCTCCCATGTTGACCAGTAGTTCCACAGCTGTACTGTGTTGTGAAAAGCCCCAAGTCACTAGGTGATGGGGTCAGTTTTCATCCACTCGAAAAGTACAGCAGCAAGTGTCCGTCTGCCCTCTCCCATTTTAAGAAACTGTACCTACCCTCTTCCTCTCTGGCTTTTACTATCCCCATGTGATTCTGTTTGCCTCTTCCTCCCTTGTATTTTCATTTTCAGTCATCTTTATGACAGCTTTGGGTGGGGGAGGGGACATCACAGATAATTAAGGTCAAAATGTGGGTTTCCTGGTGATGTTTAAAGTTCCAAGTGAAGTGTTTTTAGATAAGTATCAAACAGGGTCCGAGTATAGACCTACTGGAATGCCCAAGAAATGTAAGCCAAGGCTATGGTATTTTGGCATCAGAAGGCTACTTTCATTTTTCTCTCACTCTTTGGGAAGAGCATATTTCCAAATTAATGTATTCATTCAACAGATTTTTAATCTTGGGGGAGGTCAATCAGTTCATTTTGGTAAATCAAGACTAAGAATGTTATTATTTGGTGGTATTTGGACATTGCTAAAGTCAATAAACTACATATGTATAATTTCCTTCCCTTACAGAGAAACACTGGTGAAATGTCATCAAATTCAACTTCTCTTGCACTAGTAAGATCATCCTTTTCTACTCGGTCAACTAAGAGCAATACTGATAAGAGTCTTTCAGTCAACCGTCTCTCTCGGGATATCTTAATTAATTTCCCACACTCAGTAGCTATGCAGAAGCGAATAATGGTAAACCTCAGGATTGTGGAATACAAGCTGGCTGAACTGGAACAATTCCTAGTTACTAAGGGTTTAAATGGTGCATTAGTTAACCGGAAATCCACTGACAAGCCTACAAAATGTAATAACAATTGAGGCAATAATTAAAGGGACTTTGAGTGGATTCATTTGATTATATGTGTTTATACCAAATGAATTATTATTTAAAAGGGGAGGGGTGCCAAGTCAGATACAAAATCCACACATTTGTCAGTTTGCTTACATTTAGAGAGTTGATTATGTTGCTAACATATTTTACTGGAGAAGGAATGAAAGCACAATAGAGAAACAGTTTGAGTTGTTTTCTTTTTAATTAGCTACAGTAAAGAGAATATAGTTGAGATACAATGATTTTAACTTCAATTGTGAAAGTTTTTTTTCTAATGGTTTACAATACTGTAAATGTCTCCAAGTTTGCATTAAAGTTAATGAGATTTGATGGAACTTTTTTCCATTATGCAGAATAGTCTAACACTATTGAATCTGTGTAATAATACTAAACTATCATTGAGCACCCTAAAATGTGCCAGGGACTCTGTTAAGATCTGTGCTTTACATACTTGTAAAGATAGTCACAGAAACTCTTAACTACTCTTCATAGTCAGCTATTGAAGTAGACTACTTTTCCAGCACCACTTCTGCTAATAATTAGATATTTCATTAGAAGTGTGCCTAAACCTTCCCTGAATTGCAAGTCACCTGTAGAAAATTATATGCATTTTTTTATTTGGTGAAAAACCCACACCTCAAATAGCACTAAAATATAATAATGGTAGAATGTATGTAATGTGGCTTAAAATTAAAGTATTTATATGCTGCATTTAGCAATCTACTTTAAATATTTTATAAAATCTAGTAATCTGTTGACAGTCACTAACAGCATTTGACCTACCCTCAAAGAAAACCCTCAGAATATCTAACACAAGCTCATCTTATGTGTATGTTAGTTGCTCAGTCATTTGCAACCCTGTAGACTGTAGCCCACCAGGCTCCTCTGTCCATGGAATTCTCCAGGCAAGAATACTGAGGTGTATAGCCATTCCCTTCTCCAGGGGATCTTCTTGACCCAGGGATTGAACCCAGGTCTCCTGCATTGCAGGCAAATGCTTTACCATCTGAACTACCAGGGAAGCCTCAAAGAAAATCCTCAAAATATCTAACACAAATTCATCATATATATGCACATAATTCACTGAGATTGTTCAATTACAGGCCTACCTATCTACCTAACTTCATACCCCCTGCCCCCAAATAAGTTACCAGTATAAATTAAAGGAAAACCTTAATCCCTTACTCATTTAATCTTCAATCAAAAGGAAAAGGAATTTAAAATATATAAGAAATTAATGCTTAAATTTATTCTTTTATTCATCATTTGACAAGAACAAAAAGCCAGCGGTAGTGTATGTGGTTCTTAAACATATTTCAGAGTCACAGATTTCTTTTGATATTCTGATGAAAAATATGGACTATTGCAGTAGAAAAAATGCATATACACATACATGTAGAAAAATATTACATGTAATTTCAACCTCATACAGTCTCTGAAGCCAATGTTAAGAACCTTAAGAATAACTGAAAAGTTTCTTGCATAGTTAGGTAATCCTAGATTGTGATGTTAAACTAGTTGTAAATGATATATGATCAGTGTATAAATCTATTAGTGATATGATGTTTTCATTATCTTTTGTAAAGAAATTGGCACATAGGACTTTCTAGCTTGGCTGGCCTCATTCTTGACAAGTTTCACAAGTTTATCTCCCATAAGTATGTAAATAAGTTATCACCTGTAAATAGTAACTCATTCAAGTAAAACAATCATTCTACTTATCTATTAACTATATATTATAATCATAAAATCTTAGATTTGATTGAAGCCATTTCCTCATTAGTATTTTGTTCCATGTTCTATTTGAAATTAGACTTCAGGGTGTATAATGAACTACTTTAAATTTTGTGAAACACAGTAGAAATTAGATGAGTCATGTTTTTCTTCCACCCATAACCTACAGAACACATTTTATGGGGAAAGAAATAATCAAAGCTTCTAGATTCCATTTTCTAGATTTATCACTTACTGGCCATAGTTTTCTGTCTTATTTCACTATTTGTAAATAAAGATTATAACTATTTACCTTAAAATAGTGAACTATGAAGGCATGAAGTTTTTAGACATGAATCAAAGATATTAAGCAATAGTCTTCATATACATAGTTCATTTTTTCCATATATATATATATGTATGGCATTTCTAATTTTCAATTTTACCACTTTCTTTTAAATATATTTATTTTCCCCAGCTTTATGGAAAAGAAACATTGTGTACTAAGAAATATAAGCAAATAGTATTTAAAAACTTTTATAATAGAAAATATAACTATTTTCTAAATAACCAGCTCAAAATAAAGCCTTCAGTATATTAGAAAACATTGTAGTGATACAAAATTTTTATTGTGAAATAGAGGCAGCTATGTATGTGTTAACAGATAAATTACATTGCTAAACATTAGTAGATTCACATTTTTGTATTACATTCCTGTTGAAATTGGAAAGCTCATAGATCTCATTCTGGTTTTCTACTGTCACTAATATTAGGTATTTCATGGTTAGTCTCTTTTTTAGAATCTAACATGTTTCCATATCTTTCCCCACGATATTTTTCCAGATATGGCCCCCAGTTAGCAGCTGGTCTGCAGCAGGTTGCAATGCGCTGAGAAGCAAAAAAAAAAAAAAAAAATTATTATAGAGTGTTATGTCTTCTTGCTAACCAAAATGAAATAAGTACATAGAAAAGTAAGAAAGTGATCATCTAAATTCTTGTCTACAGAAAAAAAAGATACTCAAATTTAACCAATTGTTAATAGAACTGTATTAACTACAAAGTCAAAATAACTGAGTATGTAAATGAGCTCAAAAGGAAGTGTGTGAACCCATTCAAGCAACAGTATCACTTCACATACTTTGATTGAATTTCTCTCCTGGCTTTAGAGTAAGGGTTAGGTTAGGATCTAAACCAGTGTATGACTGGGAAGTTTCAAGAATCAAAGGGTAAAGCCATTCATCTAGATCCACTAAACAATGACCTAAATCTTGAATCCAGTCTGACTTCTGAGCCTACCTAGACATTGTCCTACTGAGATATCATAATCAACTCCATTCCCTTAGGCCTCCATGAAAGAGGGATAACTCAGGGTCTAGATTGGGTTCAAGGTCATTTACCAGACTTTTTTCCATTTCCAATGTGCTATTATAGTATGTATTATAACCAGATGAAGTTTTAAAGGTGAAAATTATAAAGGAAAAAGGTCAGTTGCTTTGTGTCATCTCAGTTTAGTCCAGTTGCTCAGTCATGTCCAACTCTTTTGCAACCCTATGGACTGTAGCCCGCCAGGCTCTTCTATCCATAGGATTCTCCAGGCAAGAATACTGGAGTGGGTTGCCGCTTCCTTCTCCAGGGGATCTTCCTGACCCAGGGATAAAACCCATGCTTCATGTCTCCTGCGTTAGCAGGCGGGTTCTTTACCCCTAGCACCAAGATACCATAACTTTTATGTGCTAAGCATTTTAATAGGGCTTGAGGATATGATATCAATCAAGACAAGACCCCTTCTTAAGCTTATAGTCTAGTACATAGAGACACAAAAATATACATCCAGTATAATACAATGTTATGCACATAGTAATAGATAAATTGTATCAGGTATAAAAGCTACCTGAGGGGAATAGTGATTAATTTGATCTCATGTTCAAAATCTCATATTAACCTTCATTTTGATCGTAAGTACTTTATATTATAAAGTATAAATAATAGTAACATGCTTACTTGGAAGATGTTTCCTTTAGCTTGAATTATGTTTATGATAGCCATGATTGGAATCCAGATAATGCAGAAAGTAATCATACACCAGCCTAGAGCAACTCCCCAGTTAGGGTATGGAATTTGACCATACTTAGGTCTACGAAACTGTATCACTGACCAGATCAAGATTGACTGTGAAAGTAAAATATGAAAAGAAAATGGTAAAGATTAGACTTTATTGCATTAATGGTTTCAGTTGTACTAATTATTAGCAGTTGTATTCCATTTCTTAGAAATAACTTATCAAAAACAATTAAGATGAAAATACATTCAAGGTGAGATAATCAGGTAACTAGCCAGAAAATCAAATTCTAAATGAATCAATCTAAATAACTTGTATTTGTCTTACAAAAATTAGCATTGATACAGATATTTGTACAACACATTTCAGTAAAATACTTCGCCATAAAATATATCTGTTGAAAGTAAAATAGTATCTGAAATTTATATTATTAAACTTTTAACTTATAATAGCATGATTTTATTCTGTGCTATCTGGAGGAAAAAATATAGCAACCCACTCCAGTATTCTTGCTTGGAGAATTCCATGGACAGAGGAGCCTGGTGGGCTATAGCCCATGGGGTTGCAAAGAGTTGGACATGACTGAAGTGACTTAGCATTCTGTCCTGTAAGCTAGCCAGCATATCAGTTAGTTCAATGAGAATATAAAATACATTTTAGTGAACATGCCTTGCGCCTTGCTTATCAGTAGTTTCTATTTATTTCCCACTACACAGAGTACCCCTTACTCCGCACCCAAAATGTACAGGCATTCACACATGGGTACATAGTTACCAAAGCACTTTCTTATTGAAAAAAAAAAACATGTTTGGGTAACACAGTGAATCTTAAAGATAAAAACATTTTAAGGCCAAGTTTTTTAAAAAGTGTTTTTAAAAAAACCCTACTAGACTGTTGCAGCATTAAAACTAATTATATAGAAATCTGTAAAGCAAACAAAATGAACAAAACCCAAAAATTCCTTTAATTTCATTACACTAAGTTTATTTCACAATTACCATAATTTCATATAATTACAAGAGAATGGATGAGGGATAGTGGAGTCTAATATGTATGACTTTATACAAAATAGATGATAATGTATATCATTTAACATTTAATACCTTTGCATTTTAAAGTAAATCGAGTTGTCAAACCTAGAAATCAATGAAATTAGCTGGCTAAAATGTCTAGTTAGATCTTCTAAGTTGATAAAGGGCTTATTTTATTATGGAAACTTGTCAAATGAGGAAAACAATATTTAGTAGCACTGTCAAAGCCAAATATTAAAAACACCCTCTAAAATAAAGTGTAGATCAAATTACATAATACCCTTTCCTAGGAAAATCGTTGAAGCATGGAGGCAATGAGAACCAAAACTCATCCTCAATAAAGTTTCCCCCTGCCCCACCCCCACCATTATCTCTAGTGCATAGTAATTTTCTATCCCATAAAGTGTTTACTTGGCATTTAGCCTTTTACTGTCCTGAACTATTATTTAAAGTTACTTTTTGCTTTCCTTCAGCTCCTGCTGCTGCTGCTGCTCCTAAGTCGTTCCAGTCGTTTCCGACTCTGAGCGACCCCATAGACGGCAGCCCATCAGCTCCTCTATCCCTGGGATTCCCCAGGCAAGAACACTGGAGTGGGTTGCCATTTCCTTCTCCAGTGCATGCATGCATGCTAAGTTGCTTCAGTTGTGTCCGACTCTGTGCGACCCAATGGACAGCAGCCCACCAGGCTCCTTTGTCCATGGGATTCTCTAGGCAAGAATACTGGAGTGGGTTGCCATGTCCTTCTTCTTTCAGCTCCTAAATCACACTAATTTTTAACATAAACTATTGTCTCTGTTGACACACGTGAGTTTTTGTAATTTCAGATACTAATTCCCATAAAAAATATGAATTAATAACTGAGTGTTGTTTCTTAGCAATTAGTATATTTAGATTGAATTCCTTGAAGGCAGAGACTGGGTCTTAAACAGAGAGGTTAAGAACATTGTAGGTGGCTCAGCATATTTTTTAGGGAATGAGCAAATAACTCATTTTTAAAAATTATTGTATTGAAAATTTTTAAGTATCTTGTCCTAGATACTTTTTAGGATACCTTTAAGTCTCAAATGGTAAATGTTTAAGCCTATGGCCTCAGAAATAATGCAACAAAGAAAGGCACTGTAGACTTTTGGATAGCAGCCATCCTGACTGGCATGTAATGGTACCTCATTGTGGTTTTGATTTGCATTTCTCTGATAATGAGTGATGTTGAGCATCTTTTCATGTGTTTGTTAGCCATCTGTATGTCTTCTTTGGAGAAATGTCTGTTTAGTTCTTTGGCCCATTTTTTGATTGGGTCATTTATTTTTCTGGGATTGAGCTGCAGGAGCTGCTTGTATATTTTTGAGATTAATCCTTTGTCTGTTGCTTCATTTGCTATTATTTTCTCCCATTCTGAGGGCTGTCTTTTCACCTTGCTTATAGTTTCCTTCATTGTGCAAAAGCTTTTAAGTTTCATTAGGTCCCATTTGTTTATGTTTGCTTTTATTTCCAATATTCTGGGAGGTGGGTCATAGAGGATCCTGCTGTGATTTATGTCGGAGAGTGTTTTGCCTATGTTCTCCTCTAGGAGTTTTATAGTTTCTGGTCTTACATTTAGATCTTTAATCCATTTTGAGTTTATTTCTGTGTATGTTGTTAGAACGTGTTCTAGTTTCAGTACAGTATACTAATGCATATATATGGAATTTAGAAAGATGGTAATGATAACCCTATATGCAAAACAGAAAAAGAGACACAAATGTACAGAACAGAATTTTGGAGTCTGTGGGAGAAGGCTAGGGTGGGATGTTTCGAGAGAACAGCATGGAAACATGTATATTATCTGGGGTGAAACAGATCACCAGCCCAGGCTGGATGCCTGAGACAAGTGCTTGGGCCTGGTGCACTGGGAAGACCCAGAGGAATCGGGTGGAGAGGGAGGTGGGAGAGGGGATCGGGATGGGGAATATATGTAACTCCATGGCTGATTCATGTCAATGTATGACAAAACCCACTACAATATTGTAAAATAATTAGCCTCCAACTAATAAAAATAAATGAAAGAAAAAAAAAAAGAAAGGCACTGTAATTTCGGCCATTTGGAGGCCGAAAAGTTGAAAATCATTGATTTTAAAATGATATTAATTTGCTTTATTGTATTTAATGTAAATAAGTCAAGTTTATCTTATAAGTGTTTAAATATATATATTATTGATACCAGATTCATAGCATGTTAATACTTACCATTAAAAGGATAGGTGTAATGACAAACCAGCAAGTTCTCCACCATAGCCAGAATATCCACCTTTTTGCTCCAATCATCATTTCTATATCATCAATAAACCTGTTCCCTCCTAAAAACAGCAATAAAGAGTGCATTCAGCCCTTACTCATACTTTCATTCATTAATCATTCTGGCTCTAAGTTATCCTTCTATGTCTAAACATTCTCCTGTACTATAGCAATGAAGCATATAATGCCTTTAACTACATTTTATTCATAAGAAATTTTTGCCCAGTATATTATACTAAGTTATTATAGTAAACATAATGAAAAGGAATAAAACTAAGTCATTTTAATAAAATGTGTAGATAATTCTGTAGTCACTATTTACCATAAATCCAGATGACTCCTATTATTTCCAGTATAGCTGCAATCAAAATGCCCCATCCAGCACAGAAGTGGTCAATCAGATTAACCCAGTATATTCCAGCCTACCAAAAAAAAAGTCAGTTACTTTTAAATATAGTTTTAATTACTTTTATGATTGATGAGGTACTCAGATTGAATCCACTAATTTGATTTTAACATATGCTCCTTGGTTTCACCTCTGTATAAAGGGGGAATGTTTCAAATGTAAACACAAATTGGGCTTTAAATATCTCAAACAGGCTGTACCTTTTATTCTACACTGAGTCCCTATTAAAAAAATAAGCATTTAGAATAGTTAATTATGAAATTGAAAGGTAGTGTGCTCTTTTGTAGCTGCCAAGAAATACAGCCTATGTTCAAAGTCTGTAACTATTGTAATTGGGGAAATTGTCCACTATTGGGCTCCCCCTGCCAAACTATACATGCTATTGAAATTGTGTTATGATGGGAAAAGAATCTGGGTTAAAACTCAGAAAATCTTGAAGTCTGTACTAAACACACTCTTAAACCGTGGCTTCCTCATTTAGATTATAAAGTACATTCCAACTAATATTTTGTCTATGAAAAAATACTGTAGTATACCTGAGTCACACAGATGAGGCCAAGGAAAAACAAAACCAAGCAGCAACCCAAAGTTATGGGAGCCCTCATTTTCTTCATCACTTTGGGAAATAAATCTTGAATTGTTGTGGTAATCGTCTCTTCAGAAGGAAAAAAAATGACATGTAAACTCATTTGCCAATAATTTTAATCATAGAAATCAATTACTATTAACAAAATTTACAAATATATGTTGAGAATATACTCTGGGCCCAACTTCTTGCTTTTAAAAATCCATAGGGTCCTTTCTCTTGGCAGTCTCCACTTATCAGTTCTGATTAAAAAAATCAAATACAGCTCTATTTGTTGTTTTTGGTCTGTTTTGTAAGGTTTTTCATTGGTAGCAATTATAAGGTAATAGTTTCCCGAGGGCTGAAGAAGTTTGAAAGAGGGTTATAGGGAAGAAGAATTTTAGTAGAACTTTTAAATAAGGTGAATTCATATGGAGACAGAAAGGCCTTCTAGGTTTAAGAAGTAAATATGTTCATGAAACAGGGTACTGGCTAAAAGTAGAAGGATATATGAGTAAAGGATTAAGAAACATGTTTGAAATTTTTGGAGGGCTTTGAAAGTCAACTGGAGGAGGCTGGACTTTATCCTATAAATTATTAAAATGTTTTATGTAACAGTGTGATATGACAAACACTGTTTCAGAATTTTTAGTTGTGTACCCTAGGGCAGGAGGAGAAGGGGATGACAGAGGATGAGATGGTTGGATGGCATCACTGACCCAATGGACATGTGTTTGGGTGGACTCTGGGAATTGGTGATAGACAGGGAGGCCTGACGTGATGCAGTTCATGGGGTCGCAAAGAGTTGGACACGGCTGAGCGACTGAACTGAACTGAACCCTAGGGAAAATTCCTATGTGTAAAGAGAACCATATATAAGAATAATTACTGCAGCAGTGCGTGTAACCACTACAATATTGTAATTAGCCTCCAATTAAAATAATTTTAAAAAATTGGAAATAATCCAAATGCCCATAATTATGGTAACAGATTGTGAATTAACTTGGTGACTCAGATGGTAAAGAATTTGCCTGCAATGCAGGAGACTCAGGTTCAATCCCTGGGTTGGGAAGAGCCCCTGGAGAAGTGAATGGCTACCCACTCCAGTATTCTTGCCTGGAGAATTCTATGGACAGAGTAGCCTGGCAGGCTAAGTCCATGCACAAAGTGTAGCAAAGAGTCAGACATGACTGAGCAACTAACACATGTCTGTGTATCAACATGGATTCATAATACATATAAAGAGCAACTGTCAGAATGGTATGTATGCTATGAAACTTCACATTTATGTGAAATTTTAAAATTCTATCTTATTTATGGATATATATAAAATGTACACAAATAATATATATAATCCATGGTGACAGTTGCTTTCTAGGAAAGAAGAAATGTGAATTGTATTAGGCAGAGAAACATAAAGGACTTCAAATTTATCTGTAACAGTTAATTTTTCTAAAAAAAATGTCTGAAGCAAACATAAAATATTAATGTCTGTTCCTTTTGAGTATCTGATACATGAATATGTTGTATTTTTCCATATTTAAAATTTAAGTTAAAAAGAATTTTCAAAAAGATCATTCTGAGAGTAAAAACTAGATGGGGGCAACAAGGGTAAGAAAATAATGTTTTGAAGTAGAGTAAAATATGAGAGGGATATGTTAACATTGGGAGTATTACTTACCAATGGAAGCGAACTGAGAGTCAAGACCCAAAGTCAAAAGCATGAAAAAAAATAATACGGACCAAAATGGCCCACCTGGGAGTTGAGCTAAAGCTTCTGGATAGGCAATGAATGCCAAATCAAAACCTAGGAAAAAAGTAATGGAATTTTAATTTAAGTTAAAGAAAATTAAAGAAATTCACATATTTGAACATTTTTCAATGTAAGATACTAGAAAAATCTCAATTTGGCAACTCAATGGATAATATACATTCTTTAGCAACTGTTTCACTAGCGCTTTTTAAAAGTGTTTATGTAGGTTGTTCTATAATATAATGTAAACATGTTGTAAATTAAGCTAGTGAGATAAATTTTGTAAATGGTACATTTCTCACATAAGAAATATTAACTGTATCACTGATGTTTAGCTGATTTTTATTTTTTTTAATTAATGAAGAGCAACTGTCTTAAACTCCAGTCAACTCTTTCCAATGTTTACCCAATATCACAATATGTAGTGTCATTTATTTTTTTCACTGTACATTTCACAGCTGTGTAGTGCCAACTTATTTTTTTATTGAAGTATAATTGATTTACAATATTCTCTTAGTTTTGGTATACAACATAGTGATTCTGTATTTTTGCACATTATACTCCATTATAGGTTAATACAAGATAACAGGTATAATTTTAGTGCCATTTAAATTATTATATGGACACCTGCAAGATTGTATGTAATAAAACTATAAATTGAATCTTATTTTCTATTTGATGTATGTTGCCTTTAAAGACACTTGTTAACATTTTTTAAATCATATTATATGATACTTAGTTTAAGTATTTTAAGTGTCTCCGGCCTCCCAGGGGACTGACCTAGGCTTCAGGAGAATTTGCTTCTAGCCTAGGCTCTATCACTTTCTAATTATTTGATCTTCTGCAAGACATAACATTTCTATGCTCAGTCCCATCCTCTGTAAATGAGGAGCTGGACACTACATGATCTTCAAAGTCCTTCCTAGTCCCAACATTCTATTCTCATTCATCAATCTCTCCACCAAATGATACTAACAACAAATAGAAATTTAGTAAGAAAAACCGACTTAAAAGAACCCTAAACTTCTGTTCCTAAGAGTCTTCAAAAGTGAAAGTGTTAGTTGTGTCTTTGCGACCCCATGGACTGTAGCTTGCTAGCCTCCTCTATCCATAGAATTCTCTGGGCAAGAATACTGGGTAGCCAGTCCCTTCTCGAGAGGATCTTCCCCACCCAGGGATCGAACCTGGGTCTCTTGCATTGCAGGCGGATTCTTTACCGTCTGAGCCACCAAGCCAGATAATTAAAGCATCTCTAGTTAATGTCTTTAAAGTTAAGACGTTCATTAATCAGATTCCTTTAAAGCTGAACACAGCTATATACTCAAAGTCAGTTGGGTTTCAATATATATGACATTTGTGCATTTTAAAAATTAAAAAAATTCAGATCTAACAGTGTAATTGTACATAGATTAATTTTCATATATAGTTTCACATATTCATATATATATTAATACACACATGTATATATATGTATGTGCCTTTATATACATACATGCAAATGAAGATAATGAATGTAAAGTGCATAGCGTGATGCCTAATACTTGCAATTGTGCAGTAAGTAGTTCACATTAACAGTAAGTAGTTCATATTAAACACTAAACAAAATTTGGAAAAAGCTTTAAACAATTGTTCTGTAATGTAGTCTTGTTTCTCAGATCATCTAAGAATTATTATATGATTGAAACAACCAAGTTATTTAAGATGAAATGAGAAAGAAAACTCCATACCCTAAATCTTGAGTGCTTTAATTGCTATAAAGTATATCAGTGTTTCTTAAATGAGCTATATAGGAGCTATATATAGCATTACATACCTGATTTTACAACTTGTGTGACTTCCTTTCCAGATATATGAGCCATGTGTCCCAATATAGAAAAAATAGCAAATCCAGCGAACACACTAGTAAGGCAGTTTGTCACACAAACTACAATGGCATCTGAGTAGCAGTTGTTCTTGAACTTATTGTAAGATGATAAGGCAACCAGACCACCCCAGGCAACTGACAGAGAATAAAATATCTGTGTGGCAGCATCTTTCCAAACCTATAAAAGAAAATAATATTTAAAAACACACTCTTAATTTTTCATTTGTATAAAATATTTCATATATACAGGTGAATAACTTATAAAAGCAAAACACCTAAATACCCACTACTGAGCTTAACTACTGTAATGATGCAAAGTAATTAGCCTCCAACTAATAAAAATAAATGGAAAAAAATTAAAAAAAAACTGTATAAAAAAAAAAAGAAAAGAAATAAACTGTTGCTAGGCTATTAAAGCCTCCCTGTGCTCCTTCCTGATCATATCACACTTCCAACTTCAGTGGTAACTGCTATCCTGACTTCTGTGTTTATCATTTTTCTGGTTTTCTTCATATTTTTACTATCCTAAACAATATGGCATTTAGCCTTGCATGTTTTTGAGTTTATAGAAAAGTTATCTTAATGCATGTAAACTAATACAACCTGCTTTTTCCATTCAGTAGTATATGAGATTTATCCATTATCAATTTGAACCATATGAAATTTCAATTCAACTAAATATTGCCAAATTATTCTCCGAAGTGGTTGTATCAGTTTGCACTCCCACCAGATGGTATGAGAGTTCTCACTCCCCCACATCCTTGCCAACATCAATCAGAATTTTGAATGCTGTCCAAACTAATGGCTGTGAAATGAGAGTGTTGATAACCTAAATAATTTATAAGGCTTAACATGTTTTTATTTGTTTATATTCTATAGTTTTTTTTTTCTGTGAAATTCCTGTTCACATATTTTGCCAATGTTTTGTTTGGGTTATTTGTCTTATTTGATCTCTAGGAATTCTTTATGTAGTCAGATTCTAATCCTTTATCTGTTATACATCTTAATTTTTTCTCCCAATTTGTGGCTTTTTCCCCCCTCTTAACATTGTGTCCTTTGATGAACCAAAGATTTTGTTTTAATGTAGCTGAAGGTATCTATCTTTGATTTTTACGAATTGTCCTTGATCTCTCTGACTGAAAAAAAGAATCCTTAGCCCAAGGTCATAAAGCTACTATCCTATATTTTCTTCTAAAAGACTTAGTTTTGCTTATTATCCTTAAGTTTAATTCACCTGAAATTGAATTTAATGCATGTTAAATTAGAAATCCAAATACATTGTTTTCTAAATGAAATATCAATTGAAGATAATTGATATTATCTGTTGTATTATTTGGATATCAGTTGTATCAATTGGATAGTCCATCCCTTTTCCATTGATCTGTATCCCCACCTCTGCCGCATATCAAGTTCCATGTGTTCACAAATCTTTTTTTGAGATTACTGTTCTGTTCCATGGGTCTGTATGTCTATACCTATGCAAAAACATTATTTTAGCATTAGCATTATAATACCATTTCACACCTGGTAGGACAAGTCTTCCTCATTTCTTAAGAAACGCCTTGCTTTGTTGCATAAATTTTAGAATAAATTTTCAGGTTCTATGGAAACTGTGCTGGGAATTTGATTGGAATTCTGTTTATTCCACATATCAACTTGGGGACAATAAAAACGTATTCTTAACAAGGATAATACTAGGGAGTTTTTAAAGACTTATGATACATTTAGATATCCCTTCAATCATCCAGTTCTCTCATTCCATGTTTTGATTAGAGCCCCATGTAGCCTTATCTCTTTAAGCAGTGCTCACAATCTTCATCTAATTCAACCCCTTTATCATTCCCCCTTTCATGATTTACCCCTCCTGTGTCTTTGCTAAAGGGCAATAATTAGTCTTAGAAACTAACCTAGGTAAATCCATCTTAATAGTGAAATTCTATAGATATAACATTACTCTGAAGAAAAATCTAATTATGGAGACTTCAAATAATAGGACTGGCATATATGTAGGCAAAAGTGTATTTTTAGTCCATCTGAAAATATGATTGGTCAGTGGAAGGCAGGCCATGTTAACATGTGACTTAACAGTTCTAGCTCTGGAATCGAAAAGAATGAAGTCTAAATCCAATACCTCTCACTTTCATTAAATTTGATTCATTTAACATCTTCAAGGCTGTTTCATCATCTGTAAAATGGAGATGATGATAATAATAATAGTAGTAATAACTATGTGTCCTAAGAATGCTGTGAGAATTAAATGAGATAACATATACAAAGTAATTAATAGGATATTCAGTGATAGCTATTATGTTTTTATGGAAAAGAAATATAAACTGATACTCAGTTTCATTTGTGGAAATTAAAAACAATAATTTTCTCCTTGAAAGTTATGTAATCTAATTCCAATATCAATAGAAATAAAGTTGTTAGGAGTAAATAAATATTTACTAGGTCTTCAGCTTGATATTAGATGATTATTATACTATAATTGCTTTTATAATGGCAGGAAGCCAGTAGAAAGTAAAATGGATGGATAAATAGATGGGTAGATAGATAGATACATAGATAGACAGCTAGATCATGGTTATTTCATTTATACATTTAACAATTGGTTACATTTAAGTGGTGACTCAGCAGTAAAGAATCTGCCTGCCAGTGCAGGATATGCAAGAGTCTCAGGTTCAATCCCTGGGTCGGGAAGATCCCCTGGAGAAGGAAATGGCAACCCACTCCAGTATTCTTGCCTGGGAAATCCCATGGACAGAAGAGCCTGGAAGTCTACAGTCTATGGGGTCACACAGAATCAGACATGACTTAGTGACTAAACAACAACAAGATAAGAAAATCATGTGAAAAATAAGATGCACTCATTTCTTAGGCAGTTGTACATATCAGGTTGGCCAACCCAAATGAACTTTTTGGCCAACCCAATATTAAGAGATGCTTATGTTAGTCTCTCAGCTGCTTTGACTTGATACATATACATGCATATGTGAGTGGGGTGAAGGGTTCTAGAGGTGGTGTGGCAGGTCTCAGTTGTGTAAGAATGCTATGCATACCATGAATGATGTAACTAGGCTGCCTAGTTCCAAACATACTTATCATCTCTATACCTACCCATCTCATGGCTCTATAGAAGACTATTAGTTTAGGGATTGCTGCTGCTGCTAAGTCACTTCAGTCGTGTCTGATTCTGTGCAACCCCATAGACAGCAGCCCACCAGGCTTCTCTGTCCCTGGGATTCTCCAGGCAAGAATACTGGAGTGGGTTGCCATTTCCTTCTCCAAGTTTAGGGACTAGGAAATCTTAATTCAAGATGCACAAACAGGTGATGTAAATTTAACTAAATGTGAATCTTCCTGGGTCTCAACTTTTATCACTGTAGAATGAGGAAGTTAGTAAAACAATCACTGGAGACCCCTCTAGCTATCAATTTGTATGGTTCTCTACTCTCCTAGAGATATCAATCGAGTTCAAATATTTAAAGAAAAGAAAAAATACATACTTGTGATTGCATGCTTAGAATATAGATTGGAGAGGAATAAAAAACATCTAAGAAAAAATGTTCATTGCCAGCAAACCCAAAGAAGGGGTGAGGGTAGTGTTTGTGTTGGGGTGGGGAGGTAGGAGAATTAAATTGTATGTTTTATACAGAACTTTAGGCTTAGCTCTGATGTTCTAAAGATAATAGAGACACCAAGACACAGACCAGTATAAACTAGTCACATAAAAATTTCAGAATAGTCACATGGAGCTATAAAGTCTAGGTTTCTGAGGCTTTAAAAGCCACTTAGAGGAATATCAAAGGAGCTTTTCCACTGTGCTCAAAGTTATGAGGTTTAAAGAAAATGAAGGGTCCATTTCTTAGGAAAAATGCTGCATTCTACAATTATTTAGTATTATATAACAGCAATAATTAAAATACTTGTATGCTCATTTATATAACAGTTTACCATTTCAAAGTATATTAACATATTTTATCTTGTTTATTAACCTAACAGGGAGAAGATGATGAATCCCAACTTCCATTTTATTTGTTTCTTATCCATCATGAGAAATGGTCATCTACTTGGGAAGAGATTAACAAACAAGGTTAAAAAACGTGAGGCCCAAGAAAAATGAAGAAACAAGCAGTGGCCTTTGGATACACCAAAGCATGTTAATCTCCAACACATAAACAATAAAAGTTCATAGTTCTAAAATGATTTAGAGTGATCAATTTAGATCAACGATTTAGAGTGATTTTTTTGTGATTACTACTGAGTGAAAATGATTTGGACACACAGAAGGTAACCAAAGGTTGGAGACTGACCTCTCAATTTTCAAAAAGGTAAAGGATGGATTTCCATGACTAAAAATTGATAAATTTGACTTGGTTATCAGAAACATTCTACAAAAAATAATTAAATATCCATATTGTGAGTATTTAGAACATAGCAACTGCTGAAAGGTAGCATGAGTTCCACAGAGTACCATAGCAAGCTAAAACTAATATCCATTTTGACTAATAATGCTAATATGATATTATAGTGTTTCTTGATTTTAATATAATATTGTGGGATTTTGCCTGACCAGAAGCTTAATGTGTTCTAAGAATGTGACATGACTACTAAAAAAGTGAAAGTGTTATTAGGCTGTATCAATAGAAGGAAAGTCGATAGAGTACACTTACTGGCAATTCCCTCTGCAGTTAAAATTGTAAAAGATTTTATGTACATATGATACACATAGCCATTATCTGAAGACAGACTAATATTAAAAGGGGTTACCAATTCATATTCATGGCACATATTTATGTGTCTTGTATACAAGTAACAGTTTTGTTTACGGAATTCTTCATTTAAACTTTATGTTTTAACTTCAGAATATTAACTTTTGAAGACAAAGCTTATATTAGACCATTAAACCATGAACTGTAATCTTTAAATCTACTATGCGTTTATCTGATAAGTCACATGCATGCTAAGTCACTTCAGTTGTGTCTGACTCTTTGCAACCTCATGGACTGTAGCCCACCAGGCTCTTCTGTCCATGGGATTCTTCAGGCAAGAATACTGGAGTGGGTTGCCATGCCCTTCTCCAGGGGATCATCCCAACCCAGGGATCGAACTCACGTCTCTTATGTTTCCTGTATTAGCGGGCAGGTTCTTTACCACTAGTGCCACCTGGGAAGCCCTGGTCATCAATTTGTGGGTATTTCATGCATGAAATATGCTTTTTTAAATTAATAAGCCCCACATCCTTTTGGTCAAATAGGGTCAGTTTGAATAAAATGACTTTGAAAATCCTGTTGCTAAAAATGACTGTCTCACTTCCAATAAGACAGCATTAGTGTCATGTTAAACACTTAAAATCAGGCATCCTAGTGGACAGAAACATTAATAACTTTAACTCCATATTCTTTTATAAGCTATTACATTGCAACACTCTAGGTAATCAAAGATTTTCAGTATTGACTTTTAAGGTTTACCTCCTTAGATAATGTGAGATCCGAATTGTCTTACCTCAGCATCCTTAAGTTTTGCAAAATCTGACTGTGCTCCAATATAGTATGAAATGCCTTTTGCTGCACCTTCCAGAGTTGCCCCTCGAATCACCAGGATGAGTAGGACAACATAGGGGAAAAGAGCTGTAAAATACACCACCTACCAAGAACAACCAAAAGTTATTATTTTTAAAACTCATGGTATATAATTGTATACAAACAAAGTTACTAGCCAGTTGAAATGTTTAGCTTATTAATGTCTGATAATACTAATACCAAAGTTGGCATAATTTCCTCTTTCTGTTTTTACCACTCTTCGAATGATCCACTTTCAAAACACTCTGATGTATGTGGCAATGTTTCCCAGGTTTATGTTGTAAATAAACACTATATCAGCAGTGGTTATTTGAAATCCAGATGGAGTGCTTTCCTAAATGTATCCTGGTAAATGTTGGTAATTTCTTCTCTGGTTCCTCTGCCTTTTCCAAATCCAGCTTGTACATCTAGAAGTTCAAACTACTATACAATTGTGTTCATTTCACATACTAGCAAGGTAAAGTTAAAAATCCTTCAAGCTATCCTTCAACAGTACATGATCCAAGAACTTCCAGATGTACAAGCTGGATTTAGAAAAGGCAGAGGAACCAGAAAAAAATTGCCAACATCTATTACATAATAGTAAAAGCAAGGGATTTCAAGAAAAAAATATCTGCTTCACTGGCTACACTAAAGCCTTTGACTGTGTGGATCACAATAAATTGTGGAAAACTCTTAAAGAGATGGAATACTAGACCACATTACCTGCCTCCTGATAAACCTGTATGCAGGTCAAGAAGCAATAGAACCAGACATGGAACAACAGACTGGTTCAAAATTGGGAAAGGAGTACATCAAGGCTGTATATTGTCGCTCTGCTTATTTAACTTCTGTTCAGAGTACATCATGCAAAATGCAAGACTGGATGAAGTACAAGCTGGAATCAAGATTGCCTGAAGAAATATCAACAACCTCAGATATGCAGATGATACCACTCTAATGGCAGAAAGTGAAGAGGAACTGAAGAGCCTCTTGATGAAAGTGAAAGAGAAGTGTGAAAAAGCTGGCTTAAAACTCAACATTCAAAAAATGAAGATCATGGCATCCGGTCCCATCACTTCATGGCAAATAGATGGAATAAAAGTGAAAACAGTGGCAGATTTTATCATCTTGGGCTCCAAAATCACTGTGGATGGTGCCTGCAGCCATGAAATTAAAAGATGTTTGCTCGTAGGAAGAAAAGCTATGACAAACCTAGACAGCATATTCAAAAGCAGAGATGTCACTTTGCCGACAAAGGTCTGTATAGATAAAGCTATGGTTTTTTTCAGTAGTCATGTATGGATGTGAGAGTTCAACCATAAAGAAAGCTGAGCGTGAAGAATTGATGATTTTGGATTGTGGTGCTAGAGAAGACTCTTGAGAGTCCCTTGGACAGCAAGGAGATCAAACCAGTCAATCCTAAAGGAAATCAACCCTGAATATTCATTGGAAGGACTGATACTGAAACTGAAGCTCCAATACTTTGGTCACCTGATGCAAAAAGCCAACTCATTGGAAAAGACCCTGATGCTGGGAAAGATTGAGGGGAGGAGGTGAAGCGGGCGACAAAGGATAAGATGGTAGATGGCATCACTGACTCAATGGACATGAGTTTGAACAAACTCTGGGAGATAGTGAAAAACAGGGAAACCTGGCGTGCTGAAGTCCATGGGGTTGCAAAAAGTCAGACGCAACTTGGTGACTAAACAACAAATGTCTGATAGGAGTGAAAATCACCTCTTGGTAAATTAGTGCATTAAGGTGGGAAAGAAAATGATTTTAAAGTAGTTTTAAAAGTAAACTTTTAACTGAAGTAGTTAGTCTATGCTCAATCCCAGAGAAGAAAGAAAATCTAGTAGTTGCCCAACTCCTGTGAAAGTTTTTAAAGTGAGTACTGGACACTTGACATTATTATCCTTAAAGCTACCATTTAGAGTGTTTGAGAGCACACATATATACATGTGAACTGCTTGTATCCTAGATAACACATGGTTCCAGATGAGCAGACTGCCTTTGAGGCTGGCTTTTCATTAATGTGGATAGTTTCTTTGCTCTATATATGTCTTATGTTTGGTAATATGCCCAAGGAGACGATTTAAACAAACCATCCTGAGACCAGTAAAAATTAATTGCCAGGGTAAATGGATTTTCATGGATTTTTCAATATTAACATCAAAAAGGAACCAAGGGTTTCAAAAATGTACAATCGCAACATTGTTTTGGAAAATTTCCACTGACTTTGTGATGTTCCCAGTATTTTTGTGATCTATCAGTATGTCTTATTACAATGTAGCAGTAACTGTGCTAGATATTGTATCAGGAACACAAAGATAGTATCCACAGTTATTCTTGTTCTCTGTCCTTATGGAAATTTTAGTCTGGTAGTTACAAACACACACATGTTTATTTTTCTGGGTATTGTACAGCTAGTCACAGAGAAAATTTCATGTTGTCCGCTGATATTGCCACAGTGCTCTCTGAAAGTTTAAAAATAAAACAGTGACATGGGAAATGTTTTTCAGAAGAAGCTTTCTGCTGAAAGAGGGTTCTGAGTCAATTTTTGCAAGCTTTAAGAGAATACTTGTATAGCTTTATTTTTTTCCTTCTCTCTCCAACAATGGAATAATGGGAATACTGACACTATTACCCTATATAACATATATAACAGGGATCTAGACTTTCCAAACCAAAAATTGTAACATATAATGTCACTCAAGATGCTTCTTTATTATAATAGGATGGAAATTTTAAAAATATACTCCCAAGCCTCAGAATGCTGTATCAGCTAGAAGGGTCCAAGTTTAGAGAAATTACACATCTAGTACTAATTTTTGCTAGTTTTATTTTTAATAATAGCAGTGTTCTTATGTATTTTCTTAGAGTGAGGCTGCCTACTTAGAAAACTTTTCACACATTCAAAACATCTCATGATAGAAAAAAACATGCATTTGATACTACTTGGCAATGAACTACAATGAAATTGGAAAACAGTAACATCACTGTCTAAGGTGTTTTCTAAATTACCTTTCCAGAAGACTTTATTCCTTTACATAGTGCTGCTCCAACTATGAGCCAAGCCAGAAGAAGACAAAGTGCTAAATACCAAACAATGACTCCAGTCTCATCCAGTCCACTTGACCGTTGGAGTGCCACTTTACTGAAAACACATATGTCCTTTGATTAACACACAATCATTCATCTTAATACATTGAATTTTATAATATCTTTCATACAGGGGAAGCTTCATGAGTATTTTACTAATACTCATACTAATTCATATTTATTAATATTAATACAACATATTAATACTAATATTAATTAGTATTTATTAATGTTAATATGACATCAATGTCATATGAGGCTTTTACTGATACAGTTGTATGGAGGGGCAAAAATAATTCATTGAAAAGTCAGACTCAGAACCTTCTGGTCAACTGCAGCCAATCCACAATTTCAAATCATGGAATACAAGATCTAGTCATTCCTTTAGCTCCGATTTTCCCCTAATATTTCAAAACTCCTCTATGGAAAAAATTAACCTTACATCAGATTATTTTACTCATTATGATATTTTTCCCTCAAGTTAAAATGACAGAGAAGACATTTTAAATTGTATTAAATATTTTCGTATTCATCATAGTGTTAGTCACTCAGTCATGTCTGACTCTTTGCAACCCCATGGACTGTAGCCCACCAGGCTCCTCTCTTCATGCGATTTTCCAGGCAAGAATACTGGAGTGGGTTGCCATTCCTTTCTCCAGGGTATCTTCCTGACCCAGGGATTGAATATAGACCCAGGGATCGAACCCAAGTCTCCTGCATTGCAGGCAGATTTTTTACCACCTGAGCCAGGGAAGCTCTAATTCATCATACTTGCTGTTATTATCAAAGCTAAATGGTCCCATTTTTATACCTTTTTCAAAGGCTTTCTGTAAAATTCCATGATTTCTACTAGGGACATATATAGATATAGGATTTTACTTCTTAGCTTGATGTTTAGAACATTTCAGGGGCCAAATTTTAAAAGGGTCACACAGAGCAGTAACATGGAGATGAGGAAGACTTCATTACAGCAATAGTCAAAGAAGTTATATAAGAATAAAGAGCAGGTATACAGTAAGGAGATTAAAGGCATCATTTAAAATTAATAAAAGCAAATATAACCCCAAACATCTATTTTGTCATATAATGACAACTATAAACAAAATGAATAATGAAGAATTTCAGCCTTAAATAGCAATTCTGCCCCTAGTATTATTCATCACCCAACTGTTTATCATTAGAACTTGCTCATTATAGTCTAAAAATTGCATATTTTTCTTTAAAGCAATGCCCTAACTTATAGATAATAAGCACTATATAAATCATCACTGATGACCTTGTGCCCATTTAATAACTAACTTATGAATGACAATCTATTAGCTATGGGCTAATTTTGCAGGCTACTACTATTCACACAGGATAAACATTTGAGTCAAATGAAGTATAATTTGCTCTTATATGAGTTAAGAAAAGAGCTGATCAATATTTTATTGTTATTTATAAAAAAATTTTACTAACATCTGCTTAGGATGTAGATAGTATACTGTACTCACTTCCAATACTGTTCACTGGGAAGCTGCCCTGTCTGATAAACTTCACTTCCATTGATGCAGGTAAGATTGTTGGCGTCTACCCAGCTTTTATTCGCTTGGAAGATTTCATTTATTCTTATACTCACATTACAATGTGTCACTAAAAATTAGAAAAAAAGAATACACACAGACTTGTACTTAGTTTTAGAAGAGTGCTTTCCTGGAAATAAAGTTTAAATGGTGAAATACTTAAGGTACTGTCTAAATTGTTATTTATTGAATGTGGAGTAGAAATCTCACAAATGGAATAAGCCATGCACACTCAGCAACTTAAATCTTCTCTACTACTAAGCTGAGGGTGAGTATGAAAATATCTGCCCTTTTAAACAGTATGTATTTTTATATTTACAGTATATTTTTATATTTACAGTATATTATATTTACAGTAACAACAGCTGTAGAGGAATAGTCATTTCAATTGGGATTCAGTACTCTAGGGAAATTTTCATATGTGAATTTATTTAACCTATATAGATAAATGACACCTTTAAATTCCTAAGAAGTGTTAAATCTGTATTAATTTATTCTCCAATATACACAGCCAATCCCAGTGGTAATAGTCTACAATATCGATGCTACATTATTCCAAAGACTAGCAATACTCACCATCTCTTGAACATTACTATGTATCATAAACAGTGATTTTCTCTCTTACCACTTTCCCATTTTTTCCCTTGTGCCACCCGCAACCTAGGTCTGCAAGAAGTACTCCAAGTAGTGGTTTAGCTTTACTGGCTGCCCTCAGAAATTAACATATTGCATTAATCAACTTTCAGGTTATACATGATTTATTCTGATCTCATCAGTAACCTGTGGCTCACTTAAAGTTGAACCTAAATTTGTTAGGAAATGATTTAGGCCTTTAATCTTGTTAGAAAATATAAAAGAATGAATGATTCAGAGTTAACAATAAATAAATGAATTTTACCAAAAGGTGATCTGCTACAGTTTCCATCAGCCCAACTGACGGAACATTTTGACCATGGTAGTTCACGTTGAAAAGAAGCAAACAGGTAGTAAAGACTATAGGCAATTATGACATTATAATAGATTGTCACAAAAAGGGATATCAGGACCATTGTAATCCCCACACCTGGAAAAGAGAACAATTAAAAAAATAAGTGAAATTTCTTTTGCTAATTCATACAGCTGCATTCTCAATTTCCACAAAATCTATTTTAAACTGAGAAAACTGTTTCAATGTTTTCTGTTTATTGGAGGGGTGGAAGATAGTACTGCTGTCTGAATAGCTTCTCAAAATTATTTTGATGATTGATTTTTTGAGACATTTTGAGTTGATCAGGAAAAGGTGCTAAGATTAAAGATCTATATTAAGCCACTGAATTCACAGAAAGAAAAACCATGTTCATTACTCATTAAGTCTGTAAATTCTTGTCAGAGTGGGTACTATTTAAAAAAAAAACTATTCAAGCTCATATCCTATTCACTGACCAATACTCCCATATTCATCTATAAACCAACATTTTGACAAATAGAAGATAAAGCCTCTGAATGAATGTCCTAAGGGGAAAATGTATAGCATTTCTACAAGTATATTTAAAGAAAATTCAGTAAATTGGTAAGTATCTGAATTTAAACTTCTGAAATTTCTTTAACTCTCTAGTTTCAAAACGCAGCTTAGCATACTGAATATAACTCCTATATTAAAACTAACTTTTGAGGTAGCTTCCTTAATATTCCAGCATGATAGTCTCTTCACCTCACTATAAATGTATTTTTGATGCTACATTGAAACTTTTACAAGTAGCTTTCAGCAGCTAGCATGTACCAAAAATGATATATAATCTTCAAACAGAAAGGTTGTTTGATATTTAATAACAATCAAAGCATTTTCAAAGAAAAAACGTTCCCAGTGTCCTATTCCATTAGGATCATCCAAGAGAAAAATAGTGACCTGCCCTTCAACTTTTCTGAATGAGGCATTGTGAAAGATATGCAAAAGCAGGAAGACAGATCCGCATACAAAGTAGAAGAAAAGCCAGAGCCATAAAGTTAACGCACAAGACAGTTTGCCAAGAGAATTCAAGAGGTGAAAATAGGAAAATAATAACTTCCTCATATCCTTCTTGACCCCGACCATATCTGCAGCCCAAGATAAAAAGAAATACATATTAACATTTGATTTCTAAATTTGATGGTGACAAATAGAAAAACAATGTATGTCTCTGCCTTTGAAAGTTAGTTGCTCAACTGTGTCCAATTCTTTGCTGCCCCATGGACTGTATAGCCCAGGAGGCTCCTTGGTCCATGGATTTCCCAGGCAAGAATACTGGAGTGGGTGTCATTTCCTCCTCCAGGGGATTTTCCTGACCCAGGGATCAAACCTGCATTTCCTGCATTGCCGGCAGATTCTTTACCACCTGGGCCATCATGTCCAAATGCTAAATGCTTTCATCCACACAGTGAGGACATCTATATGCAGGAACAAACCAAAAACCACAATAAGGAAAACATTTTAATACCAACCTTGAAACAATGGAAGAATCCTCCAAACTGAAACTGGACCCAAGCTAGAAAATTGTCCCATGGAGCACTCTAAGAAGAACAAAGGTAAACCAGCCAGGGCTAACATAATCACATATGGTATCAAGAAGGCACCTAGAAAAGGCAAAAAAAAAAAAAAAGAACCAAAGTACTATTATATGCTCAACTCTTGATGGCACTTTGACAGCCAACACAACATTTTGAAAGCACTCTGATATAGTAGAGTTAGAGAGAACTTAGTCTGGGCTTCAAATCTGTGAGAAAGTAGTTGATTCTCTAAACCTTGGATTCCTCATCCTTGAAATGGGGATGCTGGTATTACCTAGTGAGGTTGTTGTGATTATTAAAAACAATAACCTATAAAAAGCAATTCAAAGAAGTTGAATGATCATAGGCTTTGGAGACTGATAGACCTAGGTTTATATTCTGGCTTCATCATGTACTAGTTATGTGACCTGGGGCAGTTTATCTAACCTCTCAATCTTGGGTTCCTCATAAATGGGAAGAGTGATGCCAACTCATCAGTTTGTGGTAACAGTTTAATCACAGAGCCTATGTGAAAACACTTCACAAAATGGGCAGGCAGATAGTATATGTTCAAAGCTAGTTTTCCTCCTCTCTCCTTAAAAAAAAAAAACAATCTGCTTTTAAGACTTAGGGTTTAAATGTTAAGTGTGGTTCAAAGTAGAAGCTATTGCAGTTAAGTTCATTATTCTCCACATAGTCATGTGTTAATAGGAAACATTATTTTTGGTAGAAGGATCTTGAACCCTTGAGATGCATTCAGAATTAACATTCAATTTCATAACGACCAATTCTCCTACATTTAGATTATTCAGTCCCATTTTTGTTTTTTTGTTAAACCTTTTATTATTTTACATCTATTCTGTCTACTTTTAGGGCATACAATTCATTAAAACTTAGACCAGATTTTTGGTATAAGAATATTAAATTTATTGTTTAAGTATTCTAGAAGTCTTAAATGAACACTGTTTAATAAGAAAATGTGGAGATAAGTGAATAAAATAGACTTTGGGTTGGATTATGTACATTTTTTCTTCATATAGTTTTCCCATTATGATACTGTAATGTCATACCTGGAGATTACATTTTTTTTCTAACCCTACAAATATATTTTACTAAAAATAAGAAGACAATAAAGTACTTGTTACATCCAAGTCACTAGTCACCAGAACATAGGGACAAATATGTTTTTACAGATGTTGCAATGTACATACCATCATTACTATGACTAATAGAAGTTTAATTCCTACCAATGGTAAATATGAAGAAAAAGTAATACACAATATCTGTTTGAAAAACAATATGCAATGTTTTGCTAGCCCAGTGTAAACAGGTTTTTAGACACATACAAAAAACAATTTTCCTCACTCTTATGGTGAGGAATATATATATATATATAATGGCTTTTCACCCATTATATTATTATTATTAATAAAAACCATAACTGGTAGATTATCAATTGGTCAAGTTATCATTGATTATCAATGGTCAAATTGTTAACACTACCGACCTAGACCCTAAGGTAGTCTGATATTTCTCTTTCTTATAGTGTTAAAAAGCACCTAAAGATAAAAATGATTCCAGATTTTAGCAACAGTCTTTTAAGCCTGACCATAAGTTTAAATATAATCTATTAACATTTGACAAATTTGAATTTCATGTTCCTGTACTACCCTTGGGCAAAAAAGAGAAAGAAGCAATTGAGAGAGACTAGATCATCCACTACTCAAATGATGTGATCTTTAAAAAATGAGAGCCAATATGATATGCTAATTTTTAGAGGAAACAGTGAGAGAGGTAATAGCATACAATAAAATAATGCCATTTTGTTTCAGCTAAGTTTAAAAATTCTATATTAAATGTAGTTTGATATAGTTCCTAGAAATCTATAGTAAGTACTAGCCCTTTATGACATCAACTCCCAGGGTATTTCTTAATTTAAACCTGAACATAAGGGGCTGAAAAGGAACCTGAATGCTTTTCTCTACTACACTGACCTTAGGACATATGATTCCTGACTCATCTTCCAGCTCAAATGTATACTAAACTCTTGATTAAACAATGTTGGCTCTAGATAGGGTAATTTATGGCACCAACACTTCAAGTGTTTGATAAACAGAGCTCCTTTCTTAAATCTCTGAAGGGCAACATGAATGTTTTAATATAACCAATTAATAAGGAATGTAAGATTGAAATATCACCACACAAAATCCTATTGTACCAAGAAAAATAATTACAATGGCATAGTTTCACTGGTATCCAATTTTGAAATATAAGGGAATGTCACCTCTACACTTCTAATAGGACTTGTAATTACAAGTAAATAAATATGGTGTAAGTGAAAAGTTGTTTCAACATTACTAGAGGATTGTGCAATTCATTCTGTTTCCTTTTGGGTGTCACTTCAGAGTTATTTTTTTCTCCTTGTTCTAATCGAGTCTTCTTTAGTGATCTATGAGGTATAAACCATATTGTTTTACAGAAATTAAACACCTAGCCTTGAATTAAATTCTATTGCATTTTAGAAGGATCTTCTGCCTGGTCAATCCAATTTGGAGTATATGTAACTTATATTGCAGCTTAAAGTACAAAACCTTTAATTAATTTTTAATCAGTTCTTTCCACACTTAAGTTTCCAAAATGTAATGCCTTATTTTATTTAAGCAAATGATTTATTTGAATTTCTCATTAGAATGAGAATTCCCTGCCTTTTGCTTAGATTCAGCAATAAATTAGGCAAAACACAACTTGAGTCTGAACACATTATCATAGGAACATGTATAAATTAAGAAGAGTAAGTCATATGAAGATTGCATGGGATTTCAAATGAGAAGTCAGAAGTGCTAAATATTGCAACTTTTATCAAGTTTATATCTGAAGATCTTATGAAACCAGCTTTCTAACTTGAGCTAGAAAACCATGGTCTAATAATAAAATGCAGTATGCTAGTTTCCCATCCTCCCACTAACCCATATTATCATATACCTTTCCTTAGGTCTTAAAATATCATCAGAGGCCATAGAGCACCTCCCTTAAAACTGAAGGGGAAATAAATTGGGGGGTGAGTAGTACCTCCGCCATTGTTGTAGGTCAAATAGGGGAATCGCCACACGTTCCCCAGTCCCACTGCATATCCAACCATAGATAAAAGATAATCTGATTTTTTGGACCAGTTACCACGCTCCTGGTTCTCATCATTTTCATTAACATGAAGATTCTCGGGTGCAACCTCAGCATTCTAGAAAAAGAAAAACATCAACAGCTTATTTTTCTATTAAAAATTAAACAGAAGCATAATTTCAAAAATTCATAGAGTGACCGTGAGAGAGAGAAAGACATACAGAGACAGGCAGACAGAGACAGAGAGAAACGAACCCTGAAAAACATAGCCAAAGAGAACGTTTTCCAAAGCTAGTGACACCTCTGTGCATGGCTGCTTTTAAAATGAAAAAAAACTCTGTAGGTGGATATTTTCACTAGTTCTTTGAGTTATATCATCCAAATTTTAGTGAAAAGGTTACATGTGGCACCCAGTATAAAAGGCAAATGAAGATGGGCAAATAAAATTTCAAGTACAAAAGTCTTAAAGATGAATTAGGTAAAATCAACACTCTTGAAATTGGAGGAACTCTTTGAAAAAAAGTTTCAAATATAGTTTCCGCTTTTAAAAAAAAATCATAGACTCTTTCATACTGGCTGATAGTCTTTTTTTTGAAATGTATAAATATTTTATTTTATTTATTTTTCTTATTTTTATTTATTTATTTTTCATTTATTTTTATTAGTTGGAGGCTAAATACTTTACAATATTGTAGTGGTTTTTGTCATACATTGACATGAATCAGCCGTGGATTTACATGTATTCCCCATCCCGATCCCCCCTCCCACCTCCCTCTCCACCCAATTCCTCTGGCTGATAGTTTTGATGTTTGGAACTGTCAGGGAAGTTTGAGTTCCTCTCCATATCTTGGAGAGTAAGATCAGTGCTTTTCTGAAAGCCACAAAATAATATTCAGACAAATTTTCATGTCTCATCAGGTGGAACAGCACTCTCTCCACTTCAGAGAAGAGGGAAGCATTCCCTCAGGTCAGGTCATTTTCTTATTTCCCTTCAACCTATGGACACAGTCCAGATAGGGACAGAACACAGATGGTGGTGGGCACACCCAAGGCAGATGATGAGGCGACCGTAAGTCTTCTAGCTACCAGAGTTAAGAGCCGTCCTCTCCTATATGGGGATACCTCAGCCACACTTGAAAGCATTTGAACAGAAATGTAAACAGAATAGCCGAAGAGAGCAAAAACTGAGATTTGCCTCTTTAAGTTTTCCCTTCCCAAGCCCTCCACAGGTCCGCAGCTCACAGACTCCTACCTCCTTCCTTCTGCACTTGAAGAAGCTCAGACACTTCAACTTGTCCATGGTTCACTGGCTCCCTGGGCTGCTCCTCCTGTCTCTCAGTCTGGCCGAGCTTGACTGGTGACGGATACACACTCCCGGGTCACTAGCTGCCAGAGTGAGCCACCTTGCCCAGGGGAGGGACCATTTATGGAGGGAAGCTCCCTCCTCCCCCGCCTGGTTGCCCTGTCATGTCAATTACCGGAAGGGACTAAAGTGAGGCTCCGGTTTTTCCCCAGGTAAACTGGCATGTAGCAATCCCCTGCCCCGGCCCCGGGAAAGGGCTGGGCTGTGAGACAGCGGAGCAGTCGGAGCCGAGATGACTGACAGCCTTTGACTCAGAGCCTGGCAGCTGCCTTTGCAGTCTCTCCTCCTGTCCCGGGTTCCCTGCTTCCTTGTCACCTCTCAGTCTGGTCTCTGTCCTGGGGCCAAGTGCTGATCTCTCCCAGTGCCTGAGGCAAAGAAGGACATGGTCTGTGGGGTTCATTCTGTTCCCCAAGATTCTCCTGAACAGGCTGTACTGTCCGGGGCTCTGGGACTTCCCAAAGTTTTGCCCTTCACTAGAAAGTACTTGATCCCCTGAGGCAAACACTGCTCCCAGAGGGGAAAGCTCGTGAATTGGGCACCTTGAAAAGCAGCCAGTTGAGATAAGATTACTCAGCTGGCTCTGCCTGAAAAGAGCAACTTTGAGCCTGTGTCTCAAGCGCCTTTCTCAGCCTTCAGGACAGTGTTGCCCTTTACAGGGAATGCTTTGTGCAAATTTCAAAGAGGCCAAACAAAAACAAATTATTGAGCAGGTTTATGGGAAATTCTAACCCTAACAAAGGACTCGACTCTGCAAGAAAGGCGAGGCCTAGAAAGTAAACTATGAGGAAGCATCCTGGTTGGGCCAGGGAGGAAAGTACTATTATAATGCTGTTTACCAAGGTAACATCTTTTGTTCAGAAAACTCAAAGGATTTAAACTCGGTCATACCATGCAAAAGATGGTGTCAGTTATATGAGGCGCAGTACAGATCGCTGCACACGGATGAACCAGCCATGAGCCAAGTCCTGGGTATTCTACGTCCAGCTCCACTGACTGACAAGAATCTTCCATTTGCAATAGAAATATGCCCTGGTGAATCTGAGCAGGTAAGGCAGAAGAAAGTTCATGAGGGAAGTGGGAAGGTAGTCAGGAGAAAAAACAGTAAGTTTCTTCTAATTTTGTCTTGAATATAGCACAGTTTGGTGTGTATGTCTGTGTGTGTTTGTGTCTGTGTGCACATGCACATGCACGTGTATGTGGACCTATTAGTGTTATATGCTACTGGTGTTACCTAAAGGCTAAAATGAAGGAATTATATTAGCCCGTTGCAGACATAGAAGAGAGGAGGGGAAGGAAGACTTATAAACCTCTTTATGAAAGAATGAGCTGAAAAGCAAACCTAATAACGTTTACCAAACTATCAAAATCATGTATCAAAGTTCTGTTTACATGGAGAACTGAAAATAGATAGTAACAAAAATCACTGCGGATGGTGCCTGCAGCCATGAAATTAAAAGAAGAAAAGCTATGACCAACCTAGACAACATATTAAAAAGCAGAGACATCACTTTGCCGACAAAGGTCCATCTAGTCAAAGCTATGGTTTTTCCAGTAGTCATGTGTGGATGTGAGAGTTGGACTATAAAGAAAGCTGAGGGCCAAAGAATTGATGCCTTTGAAATGTGGTGTTGGATAAGACTCTTGACAATCCCTTGGACTGCAAGGAGATCAAACCAGTCAATCCTAAAGGAAATCAATCCTGAATATTCATTGGAAAGACTGATGCTGAAGCTGAAACTCCAATACTTTGGCCACCTGATGTGAAGAACTGACTCATTTGCAAAGACCCTGATGCTGGGAAAGAGTAAAGGTGGGAGGAGAAGGGGATGACAGAGGATGAGCTGGTTGGATGACACCACGGACTTGATGGACATGAGTTTGAGCAAGCTCTGGTAGTTGGTGATGGACAGGGAAGCCTGCCGTGCTGCAGTCCATGGGGTCGCAAAAGTCAGACATGACTGAGTGACTGAACTGAACTGATGGGAATAGTGATGACCTAGAAGGATGGGGGAGCCTCCCTGATGGCTCAGTGGGTAAAGAATCTGCTTGCAATGCAGGATTCACAGGAGATGAATGCAGGTTCGATCCCTGGGTTGAGAAGATCCTCTGGAGAAGGAAATAGCAACCCACTCCAGTATTCTTGCCTGGAGAATCCCATGGACAGAGGAGACTGGTGGGCTACAGTTCATGGGGTCGCAAAGAGTCAGACATGACTTAGTGACTAAACAGCAGCAAAAGAGGGGTGGGATGGGAGGGTGGGAAGGAGGCTCAAGAGGGAGGGGATGTATGTATACATATAGCTGATTCACTTTCTTATACAGTGAAAACTAACACACTATTGTAAAGCAACTATACTCCAATAATAAAATTAAAAAAAATTTTTTTAAAGAGACTAGGAATCTTTCTATTCCAGGGATAAATGGTAAGCAGAGGAAACAATCAGCAATTTTCCCTGCCTGTTATACAGTAGAGAAGCTCCTAACAACTTGGAAAGTTTGAAAGTGAAAGTGTTAGTTACTCAGTCATGTTCGGCTGTGTGACCATGGCTTTGAGGGCATTTCGTCCAATGTGCTAGGAATGCTCATTCCCAGGTCTGGCGAATATTACGTTGATAGGACTAGGATTTATTAGCAGTGCCAAAAATCTCTGGACCCCTTGTCTTACTAGTTTCTTATGGTCCAGGAAAGTAAGTATTCCCTCTTGTTGCTTATTCCCATATCTAGAGTTACACTATTACAATAATTTATCTCATATGGGACTATATGTCATCATTTTATCAGAGGCTCAGTCACACATTTGTTAATGCAAGAAACAATTTTGTAAAACAGCCATTCACAGGTGGGTTAGGTCAGAATGTTCCTTGTGAACTGAACAGAGATACTTTTGTTTAACATTTAAGCATGGGAGAGAGTTCTCTGAGATGGCTCATCATGTATACTTTAAAAGATAGGCAATGTCCCTTAAGTGATCAACTGGTAGCAAAAGCAATAGAATACAAAGGATAAAGTAAAAGAAACAGATCCAATATGGAGTTAGATTTGTTATTGCCTATTACAATTCCCCACTGTCAATATCCATTCTACAGTCTGTGGGAAAGGGATAGCTCTGGTTACTTTCTGCTGAGCAGGGTGGTAAAAGGTGATTGTAGAAAGGAATTGACCAGCCTTGGGCAGCGAATATTCCTTAGAATCTTTAGTAAATAGCACAATTCTCTTTCCTTCTTTATCTACAATTATTTGAACTGGATGAAACCTCCTAGACTTAACTACTACCTAATTTGTAATTGAACTTATACATTTTTGCTTCCAGTTCCCATGATGTGCTTGTGAGTGCGTGCTTAGTCATGTCCAACTCTTTGCGACCCTATGGACTATAGCCCACCAGGTTGCTCTGTCTATGGGATTTCCCAGGCATGAATACTGGAGTGAGTTGCCACTGCCTCCTCCAGGGAATTTTCTTGCCTTAGAGATCAAACATGCGTCTCTTGAGTCTCCTGCATTGGCAGGCGGATTCTTTACCACTGTGTCAGCTGGGAATCCAGTTCCCATACCTATTTATTAATTTTAACTTTCTGTGTCATAACTATACCTAGAGGGGAGGATTTCCTTACATCTGGAAAAACATAGATTAAAAGCCAGTAATGTTTCAGGCAAAACCAAAAAATTATAACCATATTCATCAGTTTACTCAGTTGTATATAATTAATCTTTTTTTACTGACAGTTTTATGAAATCAGTTTCCATTAGATTTTTAAAATATCTTATCTAGCTTAGCACTATGATTTAAAAGTTATCAGAAACTTGTTTTTTGTTAAAACATCCTTTTTATGACTTTTCTTGAAGATGTGGCAGTTTTGCAAAGCATCAACTTAGCTGCTTATAAATGACAAAAGTCTTAAAAAGTTTTGAGGTTTTTTAAATGTTATTACCACATCCCTTTTTCCTTTAGTTCCAAGCAACACAGATGATTAGATAAGTTCCAGAGACCCCAGATAGGTCATTTATATCTCACAGGCACAGAAAGAGAAATGTAAATTCCTCCTCTAACTACGTGTACAAAACCCAGCCATTTTGGGCTGTTTTCAGGGAACTTTCTTTTTTTCCAGTTCCCAAATATCCACTTTAGTTTAAACGAACAAATAACAGTAATAGACAGTAACACATATCACCTGCTCACATTCTCATGCCTCATTTTCAGCAAAATCAGGATGAAAAAGGTGGATTTGGACTCAGTACTGAGATACTCGTTCACATATAAACACACACACCCAATAGCACCGACAGCAATACCAAAAGACCCACTTTGATATAATAACCGAGCCATAAGGGGCCTTTGTTCTCCAGATCTTAGAGAGTACTGAGGCATTCTCTTTCATTTAGGGAGCATAGTTAAAGATCTCCTTATTTTACAAAAATACCCCAGAGAACTATAGAACCCCAGAGCTCTGATCATCCATACTTAATTATCCATGGCCAGGAGAAGGCAATGGCAACCCACTCCAGTACTCTCGCCTGGAAAATCTCAGGAACGGGGGAGCCTGGTGGGCTGCTGTCTATGGGGTTGTACAGAGTCGGACACGACTGAAGCGACTTAGCAGCAGCAGCAGCAGCAGTGTTATCAACTATCAAGCAAACAATTCAAACCAGTTTCTCAGGGTCACAGTTCCCTAGCCCCCCCCAAAAAGATTCCTATCCAATGCCTGATCAGTCCAAAAGAGGAGAACTCTAACCAATGCATCATCAGAAATGAAGTTGAATGAATGACTGTGTGCATGTGTGCTTAGTCATTAAGTCATGTCCAACTCTCTACGACCCCATGGACTATAGCCCTCCAGGCTCCTCTGTCCATGGGATTTTCCAGGCAAAATTACTGGAACAGATTGCCATTTCCTACTCCAGGGGATCTTCCTGACCCAGGAATTGAACCCGCGTCTCTCACATCTCCTGCATTGGCAGGCAGATTCTTTACCACTTCACCACTTGGGAAGCCTTGTATGAACGACCAAGGCTAGTTCAAAAGGGAAAATCCCAACCAACATTCTACCACAGGTGAAACCAACGCCATAGAGAAGGATATCCTGGTAACCCATTAATCACCAAAGCCCCATTAGTCACCAAAGATGTCTCAACTGGTCAATGCAAACTCTAACAAACAAGAAACATATGGTCCCACAAACAAGAGATCAGATGAGCCATATTCCAGAAATTCCACTTCCATTCCCAAGTG